TATTTTACCTGTTGAAAAGCAGAACACTTCTGTCATTGAAGTGATATTGAAACAGTGACAGGGATTATGTAAGTCATTCCTGACACACGCAAGTGTGTTCTATGCAGCAGCATGGCCCTATTTGTGATTGACAACTGGGCTGTCCAATAAGAGCCTGGTACAGTACAGTAGTAGAAATAGAAAAAAAAATAGTTTCAGAAACATAGAACTAAATAAGCAAAGCAATACAAAAAATATAGCAAATATAATGAATAATAATATAATCTTTTTTTTTCTTAAAAGGAAAACCATATATATATAGCCTATGAAGGCAAATTTCCATACTAATAAGACAATATTACTTGTACTAAAATTTCTAAAAGTTAGGGAAAAAACCTGAAAGAAATTGATGGCTAAATTTTGGACCCAAAGATAATTTTGGATGTAGCAAAACTAGCTCAGTAGATAGAACTGTGAACTGTGTGTCTAGTATGATTGGATATTGTCAAATGCATTGTCTATATTCAGTGTTTGGTCTTATTATCACTGGTTTGCATGTTGTTAATATTCCTACATCCGCATTGCCTTGTGACCATAATGTTGTCGGTATTTCTGCTAAGAGGTTCTCTTCTTCTTTTGTCAGTAGAATTTGTACATTTTCAGTGGAAAGTTCAGTGAAGGGCTGTAGTAGGTGTTATCTGATTGCCATTCCCAGTCAAGGCGGTATGCAGCTGAGGTAGCTATTACTCCCAGTCGTTGCCATAACATTCCTTTTTGTTTTGCTAATGAAACATGGGTCACCATACTTGCTGCATGTAATCTCTCTGCTTCTTCTGAAACCTTGACAGTAGCAACAGCTACGCAGTCTTTATCTGTTGAGATTTCTTGAATTAGAATTTGTTGAGATTTCAGTTTGTGCACCTTTTTATCAAAATCATCGTCTTGCCCTGGAGTGTGCTTTAAGCGCAAAGTTACATGTAGTTTATCGACTTGTTGGATTTGGTCTGGCATTTTTAACAAATCTGTTATTTTGCTAAGCAATGTTGTTGGGACACTCAAAAGCGGACT